GGGAGAAACTGTCCATTTTCCACTTCCCCAGAATAAAGCATCTTAATCTTTCATTGTCTGACTGGGCTTCCCTCCTTGTGCTGCGTGGCAGTACGCTCCTTTCTGGAGAGGGTCCTTGCTTCACAACAGACTAGTGTCAGAAGCAAACGGGGAAGGACAAGCAGAGGGCAGTGGGAAAGCAGACTGCTTTGAAGTATTTGGGGCATGAAAACTGCTGAAGGGTTGAGACTGACTGAAGCATAAGGAACTGTTTGTGTAGCCATTTCATGTGGTGGTAACGGCAGGTTGCTCAGTGCAGCTAGCAGGTATGGACAGTTTTTGTTCCAAATGGGAGGAGGGTGTACTGATCTGTGCCGTCTTCACGTGGGCAGATTTTGTTGGTTAAGTCCAGCTCTGTGTAACCACAGGGATGGTGAACAGATGCGCTGCTCGTGTGATGCCATTTTTTCTACCAATGCAGCTGTACCTACTTTCAGTACTGTTGGATTTGTTGGCACTTCGCACTTCTTGTGGAAATAGTTGCTTTGCTGTGGAATAACAGCAGGGTTGCCTTTCTTGCTTTTTAATAAAATCTTTGTTTGCACAATCTTATCAATATATAAAGGCAGAGAGAAATGGAAGACGTTTACACCAAAGTTGTTATAAACTTGTTAACTGGTTGTGTAGGCCAGGTGATTCCCATAACTTTACATTGCATTTCCTAACGTTAAAACAATAATGTAGATTAACAGACCATCCTTTAATCATGTTCATTTGGACTAAGACATGCTTATCTAGACAGTGTACCTTCAACTTTCTGTGCAGTTAGGCAGGGCTCAAAGTCTTGGATCAGGATTGCTTCTTTTCTGAGAAGATTTGATGCTGTAAAGTCAGGGGGAGGTCTGCTGACATTTATGAATTGCGCAACTAGCTGTACACAAAGCCATGTAGATTACAGAATTTCAGGCAGAATTGGTTAAGGCAAAATTGGTGCATCTCTGCTCAAATTAAAAAAAAAAAATAAATTAGTCATGCCCAGATGTGTGAAAAAAATCTCAAACTTCTTTTAAAACAAAATACTTTTAGAATATGATTTTTTTTGTAATGGAGAGGACCTGTGTGTTTTATTTTTTAATTAGACCTATTTAGTGCCCCCTGTAATACGCTTCTAATCTGATTTACTAGTAAATCAACATCTGTTGCTAGCGATCAATAAGCTGAAACAGGTTTAGGGTAACTTCACTGGTTTGTACTGTTTGGCCTTGACATTTGAAGTTGGGCAGTGTGTGTTGGTTGCCTTCCTCTAAAAATGTTGAAACTGAATTTCATTTATTTTCATATGTTAATTTTATTATCTTGAAGAGTTGCAATATTTCCATGCTTAGCTCACATTTTAAAATAAATTTACTATTGAATATTACCTTCTAAGCATTATCTACTCCTATCTATTTAAAATGAGTAAGGAGAAAAGGTGAATGTGCAAAGAAAGTAGATAGACCTAGATTTTTATGTAGTTTGGATTCGCGTGAAATCTTCAACCAGAGTATGGATTCCTGACACAAACTATTTTCATACTGACTGAAAACTGGGATCCTTTTCTAGTTGGTGACACTGTTTTTCCTTAAAGTTACCCTTATGACTGATGCATTTCACAACAGAAATGGAAAATGTTTTGAAAATCTGAAAAGATTTGGTTGCCTGTCAGTTTTAACTTGGGTACTGCATGAGGTTACAGTTAAGGGCACGTAACTACGGCTTTTTATTTCTTGTTTTGCATTCAAGTTGAGTTAGTACATGGCATATTTAGATGCTTTAGAATAAAGGTGGAATGCATCTCGTAGTCTCCAGAAAAGAAAGCAGGACTGTTTTTGTTAATTTCCTATCAAGTTCCACAATGGGAGGTCTTGTAAGGATTTCTTTCTCCAGATAACGGAATATCTAATGTTTACCTCCAAAGTTAAAGTGACATACTTTAACAAACTTCTAAAAATCACTCTTCTTCAGTGTCCTAGGTAGGCTTGAAGCCTCCAGCTTAAAAATAAATTATTACTGGAAATATATAGCAACATATACAATGATTATTTTTTTTTTTTTTGCAGATGATCAGGATACGAATTACTATTTCTCATGACATAGGAAGCAGGGAACTTAGTTTACAAGGAAAAGTGTTTTGTCACATAATAAACAGTAAAATGGTGGAACTTGTTATTGGTAGATATTTGAAGGTTTAAAATGTAATAAGTTAAATGAAAGGTCCATCTTGGAGATATGAAATATGACAAATTGGACATTTTTATCTGACTGCTAGAGGTTCGCCACATATGCCAACAGAAGGATCAGTCTAAATGCATGTTTGGTGGTGTGGTTTTTTAATGTTGTGGTTTTTGTTTTTTGGGTTTTTTTTGTCTGTTGTTGGTCTGTGCTGGATTGACTATAATTGGCTAGGTGACATAAGGCAGATTAGATTGGTATAATCTGTGACCAGGTAGTTGACAGGCTATTGCTAAGCATTATAAGGTGCTTTTCTTGTAGAATTAAAATATTGTAAGATTTTAAATATTTCTAGAACATATGTGAATGAGAATATAAATTTTAAACAGTTGTCTGATTTTTACAGTTGTAGAAGCAGTGTATATAGTGGTAGGATAGGTGTGAAGGGTGTTTTAGCTACTTACACGCTTGGTAACTTTGGTGAACTATAGTCATGTGGAGTGAAGCAGGTAATAATTTGCATAGATGGCAGCTATACTTTAGCTTCTTGGGAATCTAGAGATCATAACCTATGCTGGGCAGCCTGTAAAGCCCCAGTCAGTATTATTTTATATATGTTATTTTTAGAGTAAGTGGCATAATAAGCTATTAGTTTTCACAGTAGAGAAACCTTTCTTTTAAAATGTCACAGACATTGAGAGGGAAAATAGTAATTTTACACAGAAATGTGTACAGACAATCTTCACTGTAGTGTTTGAAAGATTTCAGTCTAGTTATTTCTTTTGTGCCACCAGGGGGCATGGGACAACAGGTTTTTTCTCTCCAGCATCACATCATCTGCGTATTGATTTCCTGTTGTTTTCAGTTCACCTATTTTATAAGTTTTTAGTTTTTGTCTTTAAACTGTTGAGATTCTAGGATGCTGGCCCTACATCTCAATTAGCTTAATCTGGGTCTGTTGTCAAAATATATTTTTGTCTTTTGGGATTCAATAACAGTTTGCCCGTGCTGCATTTTAAAACCTGTTATTGTTTTCAGGATGTATTCATCTAAAAAAAAACCCAAACAAACAAAAACAAGCCAAAGCCATGGTTCAGCGCTTTACACAGCTCAGAAAATGAGGGGACAAACTTACTAACGTGTTAAAAAAAAAAAAAACCACAACAAAAAACCAAAACAAAACCAGCTAAAACATGTTCTGCAGAATGACAAAGAACTTCCATAAGGATAGAACTATAGGAATAACGGTTTAGTAGGACCCCAAAGGTTGATTGCTATCTCTTGGTAACCGGTGCGTTTTTTTCCCCTGCAGAATTCTCAAAGTGTACAGAATTCAAAAGAAAGTGTACATCACAATTTAGAAAGGAAGCCTGAGCCCTTGCAAACTGCGGCCTAATTACAGAAGTTGGAATTTACTTAGCAGTTGAGGAAAGCACTTTGTAAAATGCAAAGATCTCAAGTGAATTGTTGTCAAAGGGGCAAAAACTATCATGTACATATGTTATTTCTAATATTATTCTATATTACTTAGAAAATAAGTCACTGGTGCTAGGAAAAAGTTTTACTTGTCATTAAAATCGTAGGTCACAGAGTAGCTGTCTACCAAATCAATGTTATTTGTGTTGAATGTAATTGGTAAAATGTAAATGCCTGAATCTGCAGGGGGTTTTGTTGTAATGACAGCTTCTTAAAAAAAAAAAAAAGTAATTGTATATTTTGGGGTCTGACCACAATGTTAATAACAGGAAGTGACTGGCTTTTTGTTCTGTGTCTTTTCTTATTATTGTTAGGTTGAAGTCAGTCTAAGGAAAGAAAGAACTTGCCTCTAAGACTAATTATCCCTAAAAACATGTTAAATAATTTGGCCTTTTGTGATTCTGTAAAAGCTAACGCATTCATGCCTGAAAAAACATACCTCAAATCATTTGGAAGGAGTGGCTAGTATATGAGAGGGCAGTAGCATTCCCAGACATCTTGTTCTGCTGTGCTCCCTCCTGTGTTCCAGCAATACAGTGACTAGTTGCTCTTGAATTGCTTTGTGGTATCTGTCTTTCCTTCCAAGTTGCTTTGGGAGATACTTTGACTTCTTTCAGTTCACACTGATGTTGTTCTATGTCTTTGCTCTTGTGGTGCACTCTAGGATCATCTACAGATTCGTGTTTTACAACTGTATAGGACCATCTGACTGAAAGTGCTATCAGTTATCTTGATGTTTGTAATGGTCCAGTCATACAGATTATTACTATGATCAGGCTGTTAAGAGATCTTTTACCCCCATTAAGTGCTCTTGTTTGTTTCTCTCTAAATTTCACCGAATATAAGAAACTCAGTATTTTTAATACTATTTTACATACGCAGGAAAAAACTAAAATTGTACATCCTGTCAATCCCATCATGATGTGACAGCATTCTAAAAACTGGTTTTCTCTTTGATGTTCTGATATGATGATAAATTAAAAGATCAGATTTTTGCAAATCTATGAAAGATATTAAGAAAGTTGAAGTTTGTATAATTGGTACTTGAAACAGTGTGACCCTTTCAGAATATCTTTGTATCACTGATTAAATGTTGTGTTGCGAGTTCAAGTTCATAGTGGAAAATACAACTTTTTGCTTTTTTCCCTTATTCTGAAAGGAGGTGGTTTCATATGTTGGTTCAATTTCTTACTAGTTTGTCTTTACATAAAATATAGAAGAAGGATTTTATTTTTTGTGTGATCACATACTATTGTGAAATTGATACATTTTTTTCTTATTCTGTAAAGAACTGGTCTAAGAAATAATTAAAACTTACCTTTTTGTTTTTACAGGGCCAGCTTTCAATATTGCAAGAAAAAATAGATCATTTAGAACGCTTGTTGGCAGAAAATAATGAGATTATTTCAAACATACGAGATTCTGTGATCAATCTGAGTGAATCAGTAAAGGATGGTCAAAAAAATGCAGAGGCTATAAACTTCAGTCAAGGATCCGTTTCTGAGCTCTTTCCTTCTGCTTCAGTTTTGCTTGCAGTGGATTCTGAGGATTGTTTGTTTGCTTCAAAAAGTGGAAGTCATGGTTCAGATGTACAGGTAAGCAGTATGTCTTTCTCTTTTATTCTGCTGGAGTGCTAGCTGTCATTACCTTTTAATTCTGAAAATGGCTAATTACTAGTAAAAGCTTAGTACTAAGCTCCTAATCTAAGACATAACAGAATTGTTGAAGTGACTGTGTTTAACAGATGTTATGAAACTGTTCCTTTTTCTTTTTTAAACTGTCTAGAAATTGATTTGTGGTTATGAGAGCTAACATTTCGGAAAGCTTAGAAGTTCTTAAAAAACCTTAAACAAAACCTAGTGATTATACTGAGATTATTGTTCAGTACTATCAGAAGTCCTTAGGAAAGAATTTGAGAGTCTCTTTCAGTTTCCCCAGATTGTTCTAAAATTGATGATAAATAAACTGGAAATAGTGGATAGTCTTGATTTAAATAGGTTTTACATTTTAGGGATATATGTGTAGATGGGTCTTGATGGGGAGGTAAAGAATGTTCAAGAACTAACAGTTTTAAAAAAAACCCTCAGGTATGGTGTTCCCTTTTGAATACCATTTCTGTATTTCAGCATTCTTGTGTGTCTCCAGTTTGCACAGGCACTTTGATCAAAATAGGGGAACATCTACAATGTTGACTGGTTGGCATGAACTGGGGAGGTTGAATTTTTTAAAGTCAAACAATTCAAGTTGAATTTATTTTGCTTTCTGGTGATGCTTGTGAGTTCATGGACTCTTATATATTCAGTTTTAATGGAGTGTTTCAGGAGCACTGAGAGTACTGTGTGAAGTTTGTGATCTGTACTGTTTTTGGGAGTCTTGTGGGAGTACTATAAATATTCATAGTACTCTAAAGCAGAGATTAAATTTTGAAGTCCAGCTTTCTCATTCTAAAAGTGAAAGTATTTCTATTGCAGAAGAAAGACAGGGGACTTTAAATGAATAAGTACACATATTAGAACAATTGTAACCTCTGATGTATCATTCATAATGCCTTAAAGCTCTTCAGGGGTAGGTACCACCTTAATATGTCTTTTACAGAGAAAGTATATTTTTTTTTAAAGGCAGTATCTGACTGTTCATGTTTCTAATGTATATTAAGACTTCTGTGCAGAAAAGTAAAGCCTGTGGACCTATGATTACATGTTTTCAAGTTACTGGATTATTAACAGGTTATTCCTGGTACGGTCTGTTGCTGTATTACGTGATGTGCTTTTTAGGTGCAGTAGAGGTAAGTTATAGTGAATGTGAATTGTGAATTTTGAGGTAAAATGTGTTGGCTTAAATTCTTGGACATGTTAACCTGTTATGAATGGAAAGTAAAACATGTTTGCTTAAACTGTTCTCATATTTTGCTTCACACTTGCAGGATGTCAGAACATGTGCCTACTATAGCTTATGTACCTACCTGCCTAATGGTAGGATGTAGTAGCTAAACCACTTTTTGATAATTTTCTTTACTTTTAAGGTTATATGCATGCACTTCAGTAACAAATACAGCAGGGAATATTCTTAATACTGTTCCTTTACTCGCAATTTCTTGCCTTGCCTTGCACATGGAGAGAGGGCTCTAATATTCTTAGCGTCATTGCATTAGTACCTTGTACTCAGGTTATCCACCATTGTCATTAATGTACTTTTAGTACTGCTTCTATGTACGTTTTCTTATCCTGTGAGTCTGATCCATCTTTCAGTTATGGAATCTAAGACCTAGACTTTAGCAGAATTCTGGTAACATCACATTAACAAGGTGATCTAAATTACTGTATTTGAATACAGTTTTACCATTTAATAATTTGCCAAGCCTGATATATTCTGCAAGCTCCGTTAATTTATTTTCTTCTTAACTTTTTTATGAAGACTGAGAAATTCTGAGTGGATTATATTTTCTAAATTATATTTTAAATTCTAAAACAACTTAGAAGTGTTAATTACCTGCTGTTCATAAAAGTTAACTTAAACCTACAGATTTGGACCTTACTTTTTCCATGTTTGCCTTTTAAGTGATGTATGAGAATGAAATGAGAGACTAGAAATAAGTAACAGCTCTTACAGGTGAAACAGTGTTTGGTTAAAAATCACTTTAGAGAGTGAAGGCAAAAGAGGCTTCACTGAATAAATTATGGGAGCTCATTATAATTGCTGATAATAGAGAAACCATTATGACAACGCATTCAAATATGGATTAAAAATCTATGTGGTAATTCAGTGAGAAGTATTACCAGGACTTGCTACTTGGAGAGATGTATTTTCTTCACATAAATCAGACAAAACAAGTTACTAATAACATGAGACTCAAAAGATTCTTGGATAGGATAGCTAAAGGATTTTTTTCATGGAGGAACTGTAAATCAAGAAATTGTATACTTTGTTACTTCTTGTGTTTGTAAGTAGGAAACTGTAATAGAGCTGTAATAGACCTGGCCACCAAAAGTAACACTGAATTGAAAATTGATATAACTCAAATTAAATTTAATGGTGTCCCTGCCCATGGCAGGGGATTTGAACTAGGTTGTCGTTAAGGACGTTTTCAACCTAAACCACTCTATGAAATAGACTAATGTGTACTTTTCTCAAAATATAAAAATGGATCTAGGTAATAAAACGAACAAAATTAAGAATTGTGGATTAAATACTGTTATGACCTATTGATTTTTTTAAGTCAGTAGTTCAAGAAGTATCTGGAATTTGTGCTCAGGGAAGGTAGAATTCTCAACAGCCATCATGTTGAGCTGGAAGGTGCTCTAATACAGTGAAATGTCTCTTCTCTTGTCCCTTTCAACTACTGAAGCATCTAACATTGTGCTTAGTAATATTGCTCCTTTTAAAAATGAAGCATGAATTACTCTGTAAAAAGGTGGCCTGAAGAGGCATAAACTATGCTTTTGTTTCTTCTATGTGGTAGTTTAGCATTCACTGGAGTAAATGTTGTGATGTTTGCCCAAGACTTGTGTTACTTAAGCAGTTTGACCCCCTCAATATAGAAAAAGAGTAAGCCCGTATAGGAAAAAAAAACAGTAACTGGTTAAGTTTTCATATGTTTTAATTGAAAAGCTTGTAACAACATGACTCTCTTCTGATGCAGCCATAATGAAAACAGGCAGTAGCCTTTTTTAATTTCTATTTGTTTACTGTTTTTACAAAATCCTTGTATACTATATCAGTATTTTATACTTAGAAATTAAATTAAAATATGTCCAGGAAATACTTGTCTTTAACGCTTTTTGCTCCTTACTGACTAGGTACTCAGAACTTATTCTTCACTTGCAATCATGTAACCTGGTCAAGTGATGATGCAATTTGTAATTAATCCTTTGCACAATTCTTACTGAGGATGGTGTTATATGAAAGACAAAAATGTCTGAACTTGTATTTTCTGGCAGTCTTGGAACAAGTGCAGGGATTTCAGCCTGATCTGGCTTCAGTTTGTTCCAGGGGAAGTTTTTGAGTCCTAATTTTTTCTTGGCTTTTTTTAACTGCTTCTAATTCACATTCGAATCATAGAATGACTGAATGTTTGAGGTTGGGAGGGACCTCTGGATATCGTCTGGTCGAACCCCCTGCTCAAGCAGGGTCAGCTAGAGCTGGTTGCCCAGGACCATGTTGAGATGGCTTTTGAGTATCTCCAAGGATGGAGATTATGCAGCCTCTCTGGGCAACCTGTGCCAGTGCTCAATCACCTTCACAGGGAAAAAGTGTTCCTGATGCCTCTTGTCTTTTCACTGGGCACCCCTGAAAAGAACCTGGCTTCTCGCTCTCTGCACTATTCCTTCAGGTATTTGTACGCATTGGTAAGATTCTGTCAAGCCCTTCTCTAGGCTAAACAGTTCTGGCGCTCTCAGCCTTTCCTTGTATGAGAGCTACTTAAGTCCCTTCATCGTCTTGCTGGCCCTTTGCTGGACTCTCTCCATTGTGTCCATGCCTCTGTTGTACTGGGGAGCTTGGAGCTGAACACAGTACTCCAGGTGTGGCCTCAGCAGTGCTGAGTAGAGGGGAAGGGTCACCTCGCTTGACCTGCTGGCAACATTCCTCCTTAATACAGACCAGGATGCCATTGGCTTTCTTTGCTGCAAGGGCACATTGCTGTCTTGTGTTCAGTTTGGTGTTCACGAGGATTCCTGGGTCATTTTTTGCAAAGCTGCTTTCCAGTTGGGCTAGCTGCAGTATGTACTGGTGGCTGAGGCTGTTCCTCCCCAGGCATAGGACTTTGCACTTCCTCTCGTTGAACTGCATGAGGTTCCTGTCAGCCCATTTCTCCAGCCTGTGGAGATCCCTCTGGATGGCAGTATGGCCCTCTGGTGTGTCAGCCACTCCTCCCAGTTTGGTGTTGTCTACAAAATTGCTGAGGGTGCACTCTGCCCCATCATTCAAATCATTAATGAAGATGTTAAGCAGGATTGGACCCAGTAGCAACCCCTGCCTACACCACTGGTTACTGGCCTCCAGCTAGATTTCACGCCACTCACTGATCACCACCCTCTGGGACTGGCTGTTCAGCTGGCTTTTGGTCCACCTCACTGTCTGTTCATCCAGCCCATACATCAGCAGCTTCTCTGTGAGGATGTTACAGGAGGCAGTGCCAAAAGCCTTACAGAAGTTGTAACAATACAATACAATAACTACTGCTCTCCCCTCATTTAGCAGGCCAGTCATTTCATCGTAGGAGTTTCTCAAGTTGGTCAAGCATGACTTGCCCTTAGTGAATCCATGCTGACTACTCCTGTTGATTTTCTTGTCCCTCATGTGCCTGGAAATGGTTTCCAGGATTAGCTGCTCCATCACTTTTCCAGGGATCAAGGTGAGGCTGAGCAGCCTGTAGTTGCCTGTGTCATCCTTCTTGCCTTTCTTGAAGGTGGGAGTGAGATTGCTTTCCTCCAGTCCTTGGGCACTTCTCCTAACCACCATGACTGTTCAATGGTTCTTGTGAGTGGCCTTGCAGTGACATCAGCCAGCTCCCTCAGAGTACTTGTGAGTGCATCCCACCAGGGCCCATGGACTTATTTATGTCTGGTTTGTTCAAATGTTTGCTGACCTGGCCCTTTTCCACCAAGGGCACATCTTCCTTGCTTCAGACTTTTCCCCTGGTCTCTGGGACCTGGGATTCTTGAAGGCCACTCTTGCTAGTAAAGACTGAGGCAAAGAAAATATTCAGTACCTCAGCCTTTTCTGTGTCCTATGTCACTGGGCCCCCTGTCTCATTCAGCAGCAAGCCTTAGCCTTCCTTTTGTTACCTACATACTTATAGAAGCCTGTTGTGTTGCCTTTTACATTTCTGGCTGGATTCAATTCCATTTGGGCTTTAGCTTTCCTAACTTCATGTCTGGATGCTAGCATGATGTTTCTGTATTCCTCCCACATTAGCTGTCTCTGCTTCTACCCTCTCTATGCTTCTTTTTTGTGTTTGAGTTTTGCCAGGAGCTCCTTGTTCATGCATGCAGGCCTCCTGGTGTTTTTGTCTGGCATCCTACTTGTTGGGATGGACTTCTCCTTAGCTTGGATGAGGTGATCCTTGAATATTAACCAGTTTTCTTGGCCTCCTTTTCCCTCCAGGGTCTTATCCTGTGAGACTTACCCAGGCAAAGTGGCCAAAGTCTGCCCTCCTGAAGTCCAGTGAAGTGATCTTGCTTTTTGCCTTCCTCTCTCCTCTCAGGGTCCTGAATTCTACCATCTCATGGTCAATGCAGCAAAGGCTACCATTGACTTTCACCGCCTCAACAAGCCCCTCATCACTGGCAAGTATGAGGTTCAGCAAAGCACCTTTCCTTGCTGGCTTCGCTGTCACTTGGGTCAGGGTGTTGTCATTGATGCACTCCAGGAACCTCCTGGATTGTTTATGCCCTGCTGTGTTGTCTCTCCAGTACATAACAATGTGGTTGAAGTTCCCCATGAGGACCAGGTCCTGCAAATGTGAGGCTGCACCTACCTGTCTGTGGAGGGCCTCATTCACTTGTTATTCCTGGTCATGTGGCCTATAGCAAACATCTACTACCATGTCACTCATACTGGTCTGCTTTTTAGTCCGTGCCCATAAGCTCTCAGTTGGCTTCTTCATCCATCTGCAGGCAGAGCTCCGTGCACGTCAGCTGCTCTCTCATATAAAGGCCAAATCTCCCTCCTTGTTTTCCTGGCCTGCCTTTCCTCTGGATCCTGTATCATGTATCCCTCCATTTACAGTCATCAGTTGTCCCACCAGGATCACAGGATCCTGACAAGATCATAGGCTTGCAAGTGCACACAGACCTCTAACTCATCATGTTTATTCGCTGTGGTGTGTGTGTTAGTGCACTTGAGAGAGTCACCCCGGCATGCGGATTTCCCGGAAAAGGTTTTGGGGATTTCTCTGTAATTGTGCCCTGTAGGCACTTCCTTGCTTACATGCAAATGCTGGAGGTGACTGTACTTAAGCCATGTTTTTTTGATTCTATTTAATTTATTTTTAAATCCTTTCATGTCACGTCACTCCTGCCCATCACTCTGTCACAGGCCTGCTTGTAACTCTGTTCCTCCCCTTTTATTTCTAGCCAAAAGCTCTCCTTAACAGATCAGCCATCCTCTTGGTGAAGGTATTGTTGCTCCACTTCATGAGTTGGGTCTCATGCTCCTAAGCAGACACTGCTCTTCAAACAAGGTCCCACAGTCACAGAACCCCAAAACCTGTTGCCAACATGAGCTCCGAGGCCAATTACTGACCTGTACTATCAGTGTCCTCCCCTCAGTGGCAGGATTGAAGTGGATACCTCCTGGGCCTCTGTGACCTTAATTACTACCCCCAGAACTCTGTAGTCACTTTTGATGCAGTCTGGGTTGCCTCTGGCCATGGAATAACAACAAGGGGTAGGAGTCAGCAAGTTGGATAAGCTTTGACAGTTCCTCTACAACATCCTGGATCTGGGCCTCTGGCAGGCAGCAAACCTCTCTAGAAGATGGGTCAGGTCATCGAGCCAGTTATATCAGTCAACTGTTGATTAAGATTCCAAGATCTGTTTCTTGAATTGCAGTTTCCAGCTCTTTCGCTCATAATCATGGAAGCATGGTTTGAGATAACTGAAAGGTAATAGATATTAGGTAAAAATTTATGAATGTGTAAAAATGAATTGATGAATATGTAAAAATTGGTATCTTCCAGACAGCAGAAAGTTGTTTGTGAAATTAAGGCTCCATCCATGAGAATAACTCATTTGACATTTCAACCATGAAAACATGTTTGTTTAAAAAGCAACAGTTCCTGGAGTTGCCCACATTCCTAAGAGTTATTCAGTCTTAAGGTCACTCATTGGTTACTGGCAGATTTACAGAGCATGCACTCACTTAATTTTCTTCAAAAAGTTGCATTTCATGGAAAAATTATAGTTCCTCAAAATCAAATGTTAGTAAAACAAAAAAGCGTGTTCTTAGGCTAGTTTCAATGTAACCCTTATTTTGTCTGTTCAAGCTGGCCTTACAGAATGCATATATCTGCAAGTATTGCACCTGTGTTTTCCATTAGGCAATGTTGTCCAAAGGTGAAAGCAATCTGGTGGAGCACTGATGTGACAAGAAGGTCTCATACAGGCCATAGATATCCAGCGTATGGTCATTGTAAGTCCGACTAAGGCTCTGCTAGTTCTAGTATTACAGTGGCTTGTATTCTTGTTTAACATTCCTTACTTCTTTTTGTATCTTAAGCTAAAGGCCTGTGGTGGCTTGACCTTGGCTGGCTGCCAGGTGCCAAACCAGCTGAGGTCAACCCACTGCAGTCCTTTTTGGCACCCAGCCTGGGGCTTGAGGAATGAGAGATAAGGACAGTAATTGAGAGTGACAACGGCCAAAACTTGGATTGGACATTGCCAGAGGGAAATAACTGTGGGGATTCTTTTGTTGTTGTAATGGGTTAAAGTGACAAGGGGTGGCTTTATCATGTGTGTAAAATTGCCACTTTTACAGTGTTAATGTAACTTTGATTTTAGTGTGGGATATTTTTGTAGACATAATCGAGTTTGTGAAGGGTGTGTGATGAATGTGGGTTTTTTGTCAACTGTTCTCAAATATGTGTTTCACAGAGGTGAGGGTGAAACGTACCAGGTGCAGGTCCCCAGGTGTTGGCAGCTGGGGGCTCTAGGAGTGGTGTCTCTGAGGAGAGGCCAGTGCTGCCATGTGCTTGACACAGTTTCAGCCAGCTACAAAGCAGACCCACTGCAGGATACAGCTGAGCCCTCCATCAGCAAGGGTGGTAGCACCTCTGGGAGAATGTGTTTTAAGAAGGAGGGAAAACACTGCATGCAGTTAAGTATAAGGAAAGAAAAAATGGGAGAAACAACCCTATGAACACCAAGGTCACAGGGGAAGAAGGAAGGGGATAAGGTGCTCTAGCCACTGGAGCAGGTGGGGGAGACCACCATGGAGCAAGTATTGCCCTGCAGCCTGTGGAGGACCTGGTGCCTGAGCAGGTAGATATTTTCAGAAGGAACAGTGGCCCATGAGGGATCTATACTGGAGGAATTCCTGAAGAACTGTAGCCTGTGGAGAGGATCCCATACTGGAGCAGTTCATGAAGGACTGTAGCTTGTGGAAGGGACCCCATGCCAGAGCACAAAAAAAGTGTGAAGAGGAAGGAGTGATAGAGAGGAACCATTACGGACTGACCGCAACCCCTATACCCCTGCACCACTTAGGGTAGGGGGACATAGAGCAGTTGGGAATGAAGGAGTGAAGTTGAACTGGGCTAGAAGAGGGGTGGGGAAAACATCTCACAGTTTTGTTTTTGTTTCTCACTATCTGACTGTTTTAATTGGCAATAAATTAATGTAATGTTCCCAGGTTGGGTCTGTTTTGTCTGCGATAGTAATTGGTAAGTGATCTCTCTGTCTTTATCTTGACTGATGAGCTTTTAATCTTATTTTTCCCCCTGTCCTGTTGAGGAGGGAGAGTGAGAACAGCTGGGATAGGGTTTGGCAGCCAGCCAAGGTAAACCCATCACAGGGCCTTAACTTCTTTAGTCAGATATTTGTTTCAGATGTCTGTATTTTTCTAAAGTTTCCTAGCAGGACAGAAACCAGCTTACCGCTGGAAAGTGTTAACTCTTGTGATGGTCATGTAGTAAATGACTCCTGTAGCCTATTTTTGTGCAAGTGAAATGTTGGTTGAAGAAAGTTTGTCAGGTGTACATTTGTATTCTAACATGAGGTTAGAACCAAACTAAAGTTTATAATAACTTTTTTTAAACTATATTGCCAGTAAAAGGCTGGTCCATATGATAGTTCATGTTCATAAAGTTTGCCTTCTTTCCTAAAAGCAGACCAGAACATTCCAAAAGAAAAAAAAAAAAAGAAAAGTTGGATATGGTAACTTTGGTCTAAACTCGCATTAGAAGATTCTCTTTGAAGCTGTCTGGTGGTTTCTAAATTTCATAGGAACTTGTTAAAGTAACTCTAGAGTTGATTTATTTACGTGTAAGCTTCTTATTTGCATTGATAAGTGAAATATGTCCTTCCTTATATAATTAATCTATTGGGCAACAGCAAATACATAGGGAGCTGTGTTATAGCAATTGGCTATAGTTCTGAACATTTGTCCTTGATAGTTTCTTTCAGTTCCCTTTTGTGAGTTTGACTTTTGCCTCAATCTCTCTCATTTTGTCGTTCCTTCTTAATGCTTCTTATGTCCTCTTCATCTTCTGCGTTCCGCTAGTGTATTGCACTGTTCTGTATAATGCTCTCCCTACCCTCCTGCCCCTAACGCCGTTGTGAGCTGTCTTAATTTTGTGACTTGAGGCTCTTGTTTCTACAGTTCATCTAACCAGTTTCAGTCTCCCCAGAACAGGGCCTGCCAAAACACTGCTCTTCCTGCCAGCTATGTCTTGGGTGTCCTAGTGTGACTTGAATCTTGCTCTCCTTTGTCAGTTTTCTATTCATTTGACACTTGTTCTCTCCCTGTGTAATGAGCGAGCTGATCCATTGTTGATGAAAACAGCTTTGTTTTTTAACAGCAGAATGTTTTTGTGGATTCATATTTTATATTCCTCTTACTCTTTTTTAGATGTTGGATGTCTATGATGTTCTTCCTTTTGATAATCCAGATGGTGGTGTGTGGAAACAAGGATTTGATATCACATACAATGAAAATGAATGGGACAGTGAACCGCTTCAAGTTTTTGTTGTGCCTCACTCACATAATGACCCAGGTAATATTTTAACTATTGATTTAAGAAACTTAACTGTATGGAATTAAGAAATATATTGTCATTTCTGTTAAGACTTGGGGTTTTTTGAAGCATACTACTTAATATATTAGATTTCAGTCTAGCAAGGCAGTTAAGCAGATGTATAATTCAAATGCCATTGACTTTGAGTGACAACTGTTGTGATGAAAGTTGTGCGTGTACTTATTTATTAACTGGAGTAAAACTTCAGCGTTGATACTGGAAGGTAATATGGATTTTCTGTGTTCATCATGCTGGTAACCCACCTAGTTTATTCACTACTGCATTAAATATGTCCTGTTCTTATTTTGGCTTTTTGGACTGCCATAGATATTTAATCCTCAGCCTGTGCTTTTTGGAAGATGTGACAATGGCAAATCTGAGGTTTTTGACTATAACACTTTCTTTACTGTTTTGTGTACATCCCTGCACCAAACCTACAGTGGGATAATATAAAATCTGGATTTAAACTGGAAGCTAGGTATGCTTACATAATTTTACTTCTTCCCCAGTGGGTGTTTACTGTATAATAAATAAAATGGAGAAGTATCACTTTATTTTGAAATGACTGTAAAATACACCAAAACCTAGTGAATTATACTGCTATAGTATACTCCTGGTACATGTAAGCTGACCATAAGAAGCTGGTGAAGATACTTGTTATTGTGGAAAGCCAAAATTTCAGTGATTTTTAAACATAACTACTGTGTATCTCTCTAACGATTTAATTTATTGTTTGAAGTACTGTGGATCTGAGTGAAGTGACTCTTGTTCACATGTATCTAGCATTTTCAACGAAAATGATCACTGGAATTTGATGGGACAATACGTCCAGTTATGACAGGTAAAATAACAAAGTATGGGTATAGTAAAAATATTCAGGTAAAATAATCACAGTATAAACTTTGGTCTGCCTTTTTGTAGAAGTCTTTAAACCTGTGTCTGTTTATTGCCTCTGGTAGTAGTTCTCCAGGAAATTTTGCTAGAAAGAAGCCACACTCTTTAGAGTCATTTGTGGGCTCAGCTGGCCAATAGCAAAGACTATCAATATCAGGTTATGCTGGAGGAATCGTCTTCAGAGCCTCCAGATTTTTAGATATGTGTCTTTTGGGGCTAGCAAATGGAATAACTCTGCACTGCTTCTATAAGAAGGGTGCCAAAAATAGCAGAATTGTTGGGAAGACGGACACATCTCTTATTAGCCTCCAAATTAGGATAGCAAGTTGCTAAATTCACTCAGTGAGGAATGCCTTGAGCTTCACTATATATTTACCATGACGCTTGAAATATTATACCTTCTTTTGGAAGGTCAGCGGCTAAAAATAGGGTTTTCTCCAGGTCCAGAGACCTTCTCTGTGTATAGCATTCTTCTTTGTCAGGTTTGGGTTCTTGGTCTGTGTTTAAAAAACCTGATCAAACAACAAAAACTCAACAAGAACCCACCCCCTAAAAACGCCCAACCAAACAAAAAGACTCAAATTCCTCCCCCATCCCCCCCAAAAAAAACCAAACCAGAAACCCCAAATAAAAAACAACCATACCACTGAAAAACAAACAAAAACCAACCAAAAACCCCTACCCTTCCACTCCCTGCAAAAAAAGTTTCTTAAGTCACCAGAATTTTTAAACTTCTAAGGCACATAAAGCATAGACGCTGCTCTACAGAGGTAGCCTTACCAGCATATTTTCCTGTTTAATTTTTTGTTATCAATCATGGAATTTCCTATACTTTCCCAGTAGGAATGTTTTACTTACTCGGGAAGCATGTTTGTGATGTCCTGTCTATTCCTTAATTTTACATCTGAATGATGTCTCTTGGTACACTTGGGAGCTCCATTTAATGAAGTTTAATTTGATTCTATTTTGCCCCTTCCACCACTGCTCTGACCCTCTTCCAGACATAGGGGTGTGGGCCATAATGAACTTAGCAGATGGATTTTTACTAGCATTCACATACCTGTCTTTGAGGGAGTCACTCATTAAATCTATAGTAAGGTACTTGTTCTTTCAGCTCTCTGAAAGAAGTCCTCTCTGTGATTGCCCCTTTAATAATAAGGTTTGAAGAATTCTCTGAAGTTATGAGAGCTGTCTCTCATCTTTCTGTTGCCACATTTTTCCTGTATAGGTTATTCTCAAGGACTTTCCTGAAGTCTTAATGATGTTGTCATTTACCTTTGATGGCTGACTTCTTTACTGGTGACTAGTTTTGGTTCCTGAAGCCTTCCTCAATGCATAAGTTCCTCATGCCTTTACTATAAAATTATACCAGTCCTTCCACCAGCAGTAACTAAAACCAAGAAATCTGCATCTCCTCGTGCATACAGTCGAAATATCTCTCAGCTTGTTCAGGCTCCTCAGCTGATGTCAAGTAGAGTTAAATTGAGATATAATCCTGGTAAATGTAAACTGTTCCATCACCAAAGGTGATTGTGTGAGACTGGTTATTGTTTGCATTTACAGAGTGTTATCATAGAACTCTCCTGACTTGGTAAGGACATTTCTGTGGAATTGTCTGTAGTATGAGACTGCATATTAATAAGCACTTGAAAGAAGGAAAATTTATCTATAACAGAGATCTGAAATATCATGTAGACCTAATGGTTACATTATTTTTTTCCCACAGAGGATTAAAATGCATGGTGCAGGGGAAATGCCTTCTGGCAAAAAAAGCTTAAGGCATAATGAACCTATTGTGTAACAATATATATGAAAAATATTTGCCCAAGCCAACCTCATGCAGTTCAACAAGGCCAAGTGCAAGGTCCTACATCTGGGTCGGGGCAATCCCAAGTACAAATACCGGCTCTGTGGGGAATGGCTGGAGAGCAGCCCTGAGTAAAAGGACCTGGGCGTGCTGATTGACGAGAAGCTCAGCATGAGCAAGCAATGTGCAATCGCAGCCCAGAAGGCCAACCGTATCCTGGGCTGCATCAAAAGAAGTGTGGCCAGCAGGTCAACGGAGGTGATTCTGCCCCTCTACTCCACTCTCGTGAGACCCCACCTGGAGTACTGCATCCACCTCTGGAGTCCCCAACATAAGAAAGACATGGACCTGCTGGAGCGTGTCCAGAGGAGAGCCATGAGGATGATCCGAGGGCTGGAGCACCTCTCCTATGAGGAGAGGCTGAGAGAGTTGAGGCTGTTCAGCCTGGAGAAGAGAAGGCTCCGGGGAGATCTTATTGCTGCCTTCCAGTACCTAAAGGGGGCCTACAGGAGAGCTGGGGAAGGACTTTTTACTAGGGAGTGTAGCGATAGGACGAGGGGGAATGGCTTTAAACTGGAAGAGGGCAGGTTTAGTGGGAGGTGTCTCTCCCCATGGCAGGGGGGTTGGAATTCAACGATCCTCAAGGTCCTTTCCAACCTAAACCGTTCTATGATTCTATTTACCAAGAAATGGGGTCAGTACAGGTATAACTATACTAACTGCAGAAGCTTTAAATTCTCCTTACATTTCACGTTTTTTTTATCTGAGGCTACTCTCTCTGACTTTTCACGTAACCAGTTATGCTACTGAGAATCTGTAGCTCAAAGGCAAAGAAACTGTCTTGAAACAGAATCAGTAGTGAAGGGGGTGGTCTTAGGTTCCAAGTTCTGTTTTGGGGGGGGGGATAACTTATATGCTGATGCTCTGAAACACTTTGTGTGTCTAAATTCTCCTAAATCTGAGTTAACTGCTTCTGGGTGAATTCAACCAGGGACCACAAACTTGGGGTCTCTATACTTCCTGCTTCAGTAGCTAATATATTTACCTGTTATTGGGAAATCAGGTATAAGAATGTGTTCCCTTCACACTTTTGATCAGTGACAGGCATAATTGTCTTGCTGGCAGTTGTTGAAGATTTGAGCACCTCAGTAGCATGTCTTATTTGGGGGTGGGGGGGACTCACCCAGTGCAGATTAATCTCAAGCCACAGTAAGATTTACAAATCGCTGTGTTGTGCAAAGTTAAAGCTGTCGCAGATGGGTGGCATTTCTGGAGCAGATTAATGAGCAATCGTATAACCTGCTGTGCTGGCAAAGCCCTTATGTTAGCTCTCATGTGCTTCAACAGCAGTTTCATGTGACTGCCTGAAGTGGATTAGGCAGCTCAACCCCAGAGGGGAGAACTCTGCTCAGGGACAGTGATATTGTCAACCAACACAACTAGACTTGAAAGGTGATGTTCAGATATGACCTGAGGGGTCGAAAGACACCTCTAGTGTTTCTTGCTCTGTTGGTAATGATGATTTTGGTAATGTCTTCTCATTAAATTATTTAAGAATTGAGACTTGTGAGCTTTGTAATACATGTGTGTACCACATCAGAGTATTTTATTGCTGAATGCAGTTGTTATTGACCTAGTACAAGCAGAACTTAAGTGGAATTGAAAGAGACTAAAATGATTTTTCCCTTGCCCCTCTGCCTGCCCACGCCCAATTTCGACCTAAGTAAAAATAGATGTGAAAGTGTGTGTGCACATGTCAGGTCTAAATACTACTTTTAACACTTCATTAATTATCAATAGCATTAGTAACTTTACCTTACCAGTACTCACATTAACCCCTTTTTAATTATTTAAGACAATCTCTGTTTCTCAAGAGGAAGTCTGTATAGCCCTATGAATTGCAGTGTTAAGATAAAAGAAAACTTAAGCATAAAGGTTTGATGCTTTTAATACACCATGGAGTTTCAGGTTTGTTTTCTGTTGACCAGATCTGTGTATCATTTTCATGTGACCTCTTAGTTTTCGTGACATGTTTGGAACACAGATTCTTTAGAATACTGGCTGACCTACCAAAATATAAGAACAGGTTAGTGTAGAGCTGAAGCAGAAAACAAAAAAATGCTAGTTGAATGACATCTGGAAACTTCACTTTTAAAAGTTTTTCACTGAAAATTGGAAGTTCACTGATTAATATGTTCATGTTTTGTTTTAGTAGGAAGAAAAAAAAAGTCACCACTGTTCATCTAGAACTTGTTTTTCTTTTTGTAAACAGCAACAG